GGATTTTGTTTTGATGCGAGCAGTCTTGCTTGTTCTACTTCAGACAATTTTCGACTTTGACCGGAGTTTCTATATCATCTGAAATCTATTGACGTACTGAGCTCAAATTTAAAGAGATATTTTACATTTGATTATTTGTTTTGTAAAATTACGACCATACATTCCAATAAAGACGAAAAAACCTAAACTGGTAAGTTATCTGTATTTTTTAAAGTAACATTTGATAATGGTAATTAAAATGATAAGTTCGCAGCTAAAAATCTGATTATTTTGTTTTTAAGATGTCTGTTATTCGGAAATAGTAAGTCGCGCTATCTTTTTGAGTTGCACCGGTTTGTAAGTTGCACCGCTGTAAATTGTTTTTTCATTGTACATTGAAGGTCTTGAACCCTGAGTCGTAGAAAAGTCATGAAACATATCAAATGATTGGTAACTGGTAGGATTTTCAGATAGTTTGATTCATCTTGCTTCAGTCTCATTGTTGTTCCGACTCGTAGCGTTAGAAGAAACTATGGCGCAGGCTATTTTCCTGATACTTTAGGTACCCCGAAGAAAACTCGAAGCGTTTGAGTTGATTACCACAATGGAACATTTTTTGTTGTGTTTTGTCTTCCGAAAATGAACTTCAACATTTTTCTCAGTAATTAGAAAATCGAGTCAAGATTTCTTGCTATTCAGTCTGATTTACGCTAGGAAATTGCAGAAGAAAGCAAGCATCCACAGAATGGGTATCCTGTTTAGATTATGTTTTGAAATTGTTATTTTTGTTCCGACTTTCGATACGAAAGTAACGGAATATTTGTGCTCGGGGTGGGTTTTTTTTTCTTCAGACAAACTTCGACTTTTTAACTAGCAATTTTTGATGGAATTTTTTTATATCATTCAAAAGGTATTGTTGTCTTGAGCTTAAATTTGAAAAGATATTTTACCTGTGATCATTTTTCGTAAAGTTATGAGGGTTTAAAGATTGCCATTTTGGCCATTTTGACCAATTTGGGACAATTAACCGCGATAAAATTCGCGCTATTAACGCGTAAGCGGAGATTTAATCCTTCTTATAAATTGTAATTTTTTTTTGCATTGCTTCGGGGGAATGAAATTTAAAAAACTGAGAACAATCTTTTTCTTTTTTTTTCTTTCTTTTTCTACAATTTGAAATTTATACTCAAAAAATTTTGATCAATAAATTGAAGGGCAGTCGGAACATTCAGGATTTTGTTTTGTTGCGAGCAGTCTTGCTTGTTCTACTTCAGACAATTTTCGACTTTGACCGGAGTTTCTATATCATCTGAAATCTATTGACGTACTGAGCTCAAATTTAAAGAGATATTTTACATTTGATTATTTGTTTTGTAAAATTACGACCATACATTCCAATAAAGACGAAAAAACCTAAACTGGTAAGTTATCTGTATTTTTTAAAGTAACATTTGATAATGGTAATTAAAATGATAAGTTCGCAGCTAAAAATCTGATTACTTTGTTTTTAAGATGTCTGTTATTCGGAAATAGTAAGTCGCGCTATCTTTTTGAGTTGCACCGGTTTGTAAGTTGCACCGCTGTAAATTGTTTTTTCATTGTACATTGAAGGTCTTGAACCCTGAGTCGTAGAAAAGTCATGAAACATATCAAATGATTGGTAACTGGTAGGATTTTCAGATAGTTTGATTCATCTTGCTTCAGTCTCATTGTTGTTCCGACTCGTAGTGTTAGAAGAAACTATGGCGCAGGCTATTTTCCTGATACTTTAGATACCCCGAAGAAAACTCGAAGCGTTTGAGTTGATTACCACAATGGAACATTTTTTGTTGTGTTTTGTCTTCCGAAAATGAACTTCAACATTTTTCTCAGTAATTAGAAAATCGAGTCAAGATTTCTTGCTATTCAGTCTGATTTACGCTAGGAAATTGCAGAAGAAAGCAAGCATCCA